ATCCGCCACTGAGGGATTTAGCAGATTGTGCTGGCAGCAGGATGGTGACATCACATGACTTGTAGTTCATTGTATACTTCCTCCAGCTCCATAAAGCAGCCTATAGATTATGCAATTTTTTTTTCTTTGCAACGTGGGTGGAAAAAATAAAATTGCTTTACTCCCCCATCAACACAGTCAGTGTTGATGAGGGAATCCCTCCCGCAGCACTATTATTTTCTGCCGGCAGGGAGCCTTACCTACTGGCAAAACACAATGATTACTGCTGGCGGGTGGCAATCGATAGATTGACTTCAGTACAACTAGCTTGCCCATAGATGGATTCGATCCATTTAGGGCTGGCTTAACAGAAGGTCTGTACCTCCATACAGACCTAGGACTGGGGGTAAATTCAGGAGCCTGTGCATTGCAACTATACCACACTGATCACAGTGTAGTGGAGAGGTAGGGGTGGGGAGGTGTTCTGTAGTCCCAACACACTTCTTGTCCTAGTGTGACAATACTGCTCCCCTATAGAAATAGAACAGTGAGGGAGCATTCTCACCCTACTCTAGGAAGTATGTTACTGGCAGGATCACCAGGTGAAAATAAAGGAAATTAAAGGCTGCAAAAAGAAAACTAATGCAGCTAGCACATGTAAGGACTAGTGAGATGCGATAAAAGACATTTTTGCTTCTGGTTGTAGACACACTAACAGCCTACTGCCCGCCATAAAAGGAAATGACGGGAGGGTGGCGGTTCTCTCATTATTATTATACAGTATTTATATCTCATTCTGGGAGGACGTCATATGACGTCATCCCACTCTAGCTACAGGACACAGTAGATCACTGATCGCAGTAAAGAGCCGATGACGTCTGATCGCATGTAAATAGGAAATGTTGGTTATCGGCAGTCCTCGCCTCACGCTGACAGCGACTGAGGAGAAGAGAGCCGGTAAGTGGCATTCCTCAGAGGGGACATATACACTGATCATCAGTGCCCTGATGATCAGTGTAGCCCCATCAATGCCAACTATCAGTGCCCATAATTGCCACCTGTCAGTACCCATCAATGCCACATACCAGTGCATGTCAGAGCTGCCTATCAGTGCCAGTCAGTGCCGCCTATCAGTGTTCATCAGTGCAAGTCAGTGCCGCCTATCAGTGCCATACATGAGTGCTGCCTTTCAGTGCCCATCAGTGCTACCTGTCAGTGCTAATCAGTGCTGCATATCAGTGCCATATATGAGTGCTGCCTTTCATTGCCCATCAGTGCTACCGGTCAATGCCCAACAGTGATGCCTGTGAATGCCATTCAGTGCCTCCTCATCAGTGACATATGAGTGCTGCCTGTCAATGCCCACCAGTGATGCCTGTCAATGCCCATCATTGCCTTCTCATCAGTGCAGACTATCAGTGCCATATATGAATGCTGCCTTTCAGTGCCCAACAGTGCAACCTTTCAATGCCCAACAGTGATGCCTGTGAATGCCCAACAGTGCCACCTATCAGTGCCGCCTATCAGTGCCATATATGAGTGCTGCCTTTCACTGCCCATCAGTGTTGCCTGTCAATGCCCACCAGTGATGCCTGTCAATGCCCACCAGTGATGACTATTAGTGCCGCCTATCAGTGCCATATATGAGTGCTGCTTTCTAGAGCCCATCAGTGCTGCCCGTCAATACCCACCAGTGATGCCAGTCAATGCTCACCAGTGCCTCCTCATCAGTGCCGCCTATAAGTGCCCATCATTGCAGCCTCATTTAGTGCACATCAGTAAGCAGAATAATTACTTATTTACAACATTTTATAACAAAAAAAACTAAGAAAAAAAAAACTTTTCTTTTTTGAAAATTTTCAGTTTTTTTTAGTTTGTGTTAGCAAAAAATAAACCCCCCAGTGGTGATTAAAGACCACCAAAAGAAAGCTCTGTCTAAAAAAAAATGATAAAAATGTTGTTTGTGTACAGTGTTGCATGACTGCGCAATTGTCATTCAAAAGTACGACAACGCTGAAAGCTGAAAATCGGCCTGGGCAGGAAGGGGGTGAAAGTGCCCGGTAGGCAAGTGGTTAATGAAGGAAGCTATGTATCATCTGTGTTCCCTGTCAGGCAGGGTGTCACACCATGGGAAATACGGAAATAAAGACACAATCTAATTATAAATATTAGATTTCTTTCCTCCATCTGTGTAGGCTCGTACCTTTTCCGGCGGAGCTCAGCACGGCTGACTCACGGGTAGTTGGTAACTCAGCGGAAAGAAGAGGCTGCTGTACGGAATCATCTGTACAGTGACAGAGTGATACACCATGTGGTTACCGAATATTTCCTTTGATGTAAATAGCAGGTTGGCAGGTCTACTGTACTGTATAATGTATCAGGAGTGTGGTGTGACTGCAGGAGGCAGAGAGGGGGCAGCTGCCCCGGGCCCTGGGGGTCATAGGGCCCCCGGAAAACAGCCCCTACCTATTATTTGACTATTTTCTGTACCTTGCTTCGTAATTGCTAATTCTGTAAAATATTTAGCAGGGCAATTTTGCTGACAAATGAGTGTAGTTAAGTGATACTATTGAAACCTGCTTTATCTTGATATGATAGTATTTAGAAATCTTTACAATCGGATAATGACCTTCTGCCACACGCTATTGCAACACTGTCTCCTGGATGGCCAGCCATCCTTTGTTCCTCACTCCTGAGATGGACTGTGAGATTTGTAGTGTTCATAGAGCAGTGATATCATCACCACAACTAATGTGTCCTGTTTGTTCCAAACAAACAGAAGTGAGAGGGAAAAGGAGGAGAGGTTAGGGAGCTCATAGAGGACATTGCAGGAGGCAGAAAAACACAGTAAGAAACCAAATTTCATGAAAAATAGATTAGAGGACCATCGTAGCGGATCTCCCCCCGGACCATTTTTTAACTCCTGCTGGTCCTTTAACCCCTTTACGCCAGCTGCACACAAATGTGCGGCCTCCCGGCATCTGGGCCTAGATGCCCAGCGGCAGCACATTTGCGTTCCTGTAACAAAAAACATATGTGCTGAGAGCGAGCGCCCTGCACGCTCCTAGCACACATGTGCGGTACTCACAGAAAGGTCCCGGTCCACTCTTTCGATTGGGACCTTTCCCGATCATGTGTTGTCACGACAGTCACATGATCCCTAAAACCACGCCCCACCCACCCCGCCTGAAACTCTTAAAGGGCCGGGAGGCGCTGGCGGGAAGGGGTTAAAGCAGAGTTCCATTCAAAAGTGGACTTTCGTTTATCTGCCTACCCCCCCTTCTGTTGCCACATTGGGCACCTTTTAGGGGGAGTGGATACAGGGCTGCTGTTAGAAATCACAGGGCCACATACAGCCAACCTGACAGAGCCACCCCCCAAAAAAAAAAAAAAAAAAAAACAGTTTACTATGCTTCAGTTATGAGTAAACATAGTGAGTGATTGGTATCGATCATTCATTGTGTTCATTCAGGAAAGGAAGAGGCTGGTAAATGTGACATATTTACCAGACCCTTCCCCCACTCTCCATCCTATTGTGTGCTTGCAGCTTTTGGTGGGGGAAGGAGAGGAAGGGAGGCGGCAGCACTGCGGGGGGGGTGGGGACACACAGGGGGGCCTGGGCAGCAGGGGGTAACATATGGTACACTGGAAGGGTGATGGGTGCACCAGGGGGGCAATTACTGGAACCAATCTCCTGTATGGCTCTCTGCAGCAGCTGAAAGCCAGTGGGAGGGAGAGAAAAAGAAGCCAGCTTTCAGCTGCTGCAGAGAGAGAGCCGTACAGGGGATTGGTGCCCCCCCCCCCCCCCCCCCGCTGTCCCAATCACCATCCCTGCCCATATCAAATTCAGCCAGCTGCCTGGGCCCCGTACAGGAGGACTGGTGGTACCCACTTAGTGACGGCCCTGAGCAGGTACTTTGTTTGGCCCTCGCTCCTTCCCCCCGCAGCCCTCTGGGACATTTTACAGGTTCCAGAGGACTGCGGCCCATTCATAAAGCGCATCACGATTCATGCATGCGTAGTGGGAAACTGACTGTGAAGCCACAAGGCTTAACTGCCGATTTCCCTTAGTCAAGATGGCGGTGCCAGCACCCAACAGCCAATTGGAGAATTGGTTGAGGGTGAGGACATCGCTGGATCCCTGGACAGGTAAGTGCCCTAATATTAAAAGTCAGCAGCTACAAAATTTGCAGCTGCTGACTTTTAATTTTTGAGAGTGGGGGGGGGGGGGGGGGCGGAACCCCTCTTTAAAGTGTTACTAAACCCACAACAGTACAATCAGTCTGTATATGCAGTAAAGCATGCTTGTTATACTCACTGTGGAACCTAAGGGGTTAATCCTGCATCTGCATTGTGAAAAAAGGCTGTTTGATCCTGTCTTCTCCAATCCTCCCCTTCTTCCAGCGTCTTCCTCTTATCTCCTGATAAGACATATTGTGTGGAGTCACTCTGCACATGCTCAGTTTGTGTGTATTGCTACAGAGATTTTTTTGTTTTTTTTTTCTTGGGAAAATGCATGTGATCAGCACAGAGCCAATTAGCACTGGTCAGAGAGAGGTTAGGGGTCCTGCATCTTCCTAGAGCAGAAAAAAAACTCCTCCTACAAGCTTTAACATGTGTTGTGCTGGACACTGATAGAAGTCACAAGACTGCTCTAACTGCTGATGAGAATAAGGTATTTAGCAGTTTATATTTACTAAAATAATTGCATTTCCATGTTCTATGTACTGTGGGAGACCAGATTTAGTGAATGCAGAGCCCTGGGAGAGAGGATATAGTGAATGCAGGGTCGACCAGATATAGTGAATGCAGGGTGCGGAGAGACCAGATATAGTGAATGCGGGTCCGGGGAGACCGGATATAGTGAATGCAGGGTCCGGGGAGACCAGATATAGTGAATGCAGGGTCCGGGGAGACCGGATATAGTGAATGCAGGGTCCGGGGAGACCAGATATAGTGAATGCAGGGTCCGGGGAGACCGGATATAGTGAATGCAGGGACCGGGGAGACCGGATATAGTGGATGCAGGGTCCGGGGAGAGCGGATATAGTGAATGCAGGGTCCGGGGAGAGCGGATATAGTGAATTCAGGGTCCGGGGGAGAGCGGATATAGTGAATGCGGGTTCCGAGGAGACAAGATATAGTGAATGCAGGGTCCGGGGAGACCAGATATAGTGAATGCAGGGTCCGGGGAGACCAGATATAGTGAATGCAGGGTCCGGGGAGACCAGACCAGATATAGTGAATGCAGGGTCCGGGGAGACCAGATATACTGAATGCAGGGTCCGGGGAGACCAGATATTGTGAATACAGGGTCCGGGGGAGACCAGATATAGTAAATGCAGGGTCCGGGGAGACCAGATATAGTGAATGCAGGGTCCGGGGAGACCATATACAGTGAATGCAGGGTCCGGGGAGACCAGATATAGTGAATTCAGGGTCCGGGGAGACCAAATATACTGAATGCAGGGTCCGGGGAGACCAGATATAGTGAATGCAGGGTCCGGGGAGACCAGATATACTGAATGCAGGGTCCAGGGAGACCAAATATACTGAATGCAGGGTCCGGGGAGACCAGATATAGTGAATGCAGGGTCCTGGGTTTAGCAACACTTTAAGTTACTCACCGGCCCAGCAGATCCAGTGTTGTCTTGCTGAGATCCACTCAGTCTATTCTTCGGTGACATTATTGGGAATCTGCTGGTTCTTCATCCAACAGCTCTCCAATGATGTGCTGCCTGGCCCCGCCCCCTCCTCCTTTCTCAATGAAGAACCATGCCACCTGCGATATCTGACGTACATAGCCCAGGAGGCACAGCGGGATAACACGTCACAAGTCTAGGCAAATGACGTGCACAGTTGCAGGCCAGAGAATTTTAATACAAAACCTTACAAAAAACAATACAAAAAAAACCCGATTTGCACGTCGGAGGGGAGGAGGGGTAGGGAGGAAACATCCTGCTGAGGGTGAAGATTTGCTGTAAGCAGCGGGTGTGTACGGGTTGTTTTTGTAGAAGAGTATTGTTTGTCGTCACTTTAAAACTGAAGTTTTTTTTTTTTCAAAATCAGTACAAGGGACAGTACTTACATTTAATCCGACGTGTCCCTTGCATTGAGGCTGGCTGTCAAAACTTAAAGGGTTAGTTCACCTTTAACAAAAAGCTGCCTATGTAGATAAAGGGTGTCTGTAGATAAAAACAAACTGTGCAGCTCTGACTAAAGGTGAATATTGCCCTTGCTATAGGTGTAGGCCATTTACTGTACATATCTCCTGAAGCCTGACTGGAAAATTCCCAGGATGTTGCTAGATGAGGCCTAGTCATTACTCACCTCCACCGACACAGGAGTGAGCTTTCAAAATGCTGAGCTCAGAGCTGCTGTATCAGGGGAGAGAGAAATTTTTGACGGGGTTTGAATCAGAAAAAGAGCTCACTTCTGTGATGGTGGGGGTGAGCAGTAATGACTAGGCCTCACTTAGCAACGTCCTGGGAGTATTCCAGTCAGGCTGCATGAGGTACATAAATGGCCTACACCTATAGCAAGGGCGTTATTAAACTTTAGTCAGAGACACAAAGTTTGGTCTTATCCACAGACACCCCTTACCTGCACAGGCAGGTATCTGGTAAAGGCGAACTAATCCTTAAAAATCCAAAGTCCTCTACCCCCACTCCGCAACCGTAATCATTCAGTGCCAACTATGCCCGCCCTTACTGCCCCCTCCTCCATTCATAGGGGATGTACCATAGCTCCCATCAATGAAAAAGCACCATCAATGAAGGATGGGCAGATGCATGAAAAGTCTGCCTCCTCCATTTACAATCAGGGGGCAAGCTCATCATGCCTACGTGGAACATATTAATACCCTATGATAGTCAGTGTCATCTATGTGGATATTTCCATATGCAAATATTCAAATTACAGAAAATATAAAACAATGTACATGCAGTTTCGATGAACGATGAACTTTTATGATTTTTTTTAATGAAACCCTTAAAGCAGCCTCTCTCAACCGGGTTTCCATTGATTTCTGAATCTCAGATAAGTATTCATTGATACCAATGATCTTTTTAGCTATTTGTAAGGGGGGCATTCTTCCCACTGGTCACCAATGTGAGGAACATTCTTCCCAGTGACCCCCAATGTGAGGAACATTCCTCCCAGTGACCCCCAATGTGAGGAACATTCCTCCCAGTGACCCCCAATGTGAGGAACATTCTTCCCAGTGACCCCCAATGTGAGGAACATTCTTCCCACTGACCCCCAATGTAAGGAACATTCTTCCCACTGACCCCCAATGTAAGGAACATTCTTCCCACTGGCCACCAATGTAAGGAGCATTCTTCCCACTGGCCACCAATGTAAGGAGCATTCTTCCCACTGACTCCCAATGTAAGGAGCATTCTTCCCACTGACCACCAATGTAAGGAACATTCTTCCCAATTTTTCTTTATTAAAAGTCTTGCAATCAATAAACATAAAATAATATACAGAATATAAAAAATAAATATTTATATATATATTTACAGCAAAACAAAAATAAATATAGCAAAATCTGCTGTCAGACAAAAGCAAACGTCTCAGAAATGAACATGACATAATTGGGGAAATAAATCGTACTACCACTCACATCACTACACCAGACATCAAACCTGTGAGGTCAAGAAACCACCCCACCCCCCTTATGCATGCAGCCCTTCTTCAAAAAAGATCTTAATCAACAAAAACTACGGGAGTAAAAAGAACAGTATAAGGAAAGACCCCCTCACCCAGAGATGGATAGTTCACAAAGGCAGGTCTGATATTCCTCCACGCCCTTATCCAGACCGCCGGAGGCTCTCTGCCCTTCTCAAGACCCCGAATCTTCCCAACCTCACCCAGAATATCGTGCACCACCACCTCTACAGGGAGGACTTTCTTCCCGCAGGGTAATCTGACACCGTGCGTTCCATGTGAAGTAACGAACAACTATACTAACTAGAAAAAGTGTATCCAAATCAAAGTCCCAGCGAGCTGGGAATGCCCCGTACACCCACTCTGCATAACTCATGCGATAGAGAAAGGGGATGCCCAGAACCCTCCCCACCCTTTTATACACCTCTATGTTAATGGGGACACAGGAGCAGAAAGTAGTCCATAGACTCCACTTTACCAACACACTCTGCACTAGGACAATCCCGATCATCCACAGGGCGGTGCTTCAGGTTCCCTCTCACATAGAGCCTTCCATGAAAAGCAAGCCAGGCTTGATTCCTAAACTTCAAAGGGATTCTCTCCAAGTTAATTAAACGCAATCCCTCCCTCATTACGGAGCCTGGGCAATCCTTTAAGGCCAGTGACACACTGAAAGCATAAGCCAAAATTCTCTCCCCCAGAAGCTTCCTGGGAAGGGACCTGATATCCTCCACTGTCACCTGCCACTGCCGAAGTATTTTCAGACACGGGGCAACATAAGCCGGGAGCTTGCCATGTTGGACTCTCAGACTTTTCACTGGCCCGCCATCTTCCCAGCAATGCAGAAAAGGCCTAAACCAAGACTGAAAAATACCCACCCATCCCGGCGGGGTCTCTGCTAACATATTACCAAGATTGTACTTTAAAAAGAACAAAGAAAAGAAAACTATCAGGTTTACCATTCCTAGGACACCCTCCCGCCTAGACAGGTAAGTTACATTGCGTTTGATCAGGTTCAGCCTATTTCCCCATAACAGTTGGAAAAAACAGCTGTAGACCCTTGCATAGAGAGATACCGGCAAGATACAGACAAAGCTGACATATAAAAAGATCGGGATCAGGTAAGTTTTGATCAAGTCAACCCTCTCTCTCAAGGAAAGCCTCCATCTCTTCCAACCTGCTACTTTGGCATTGGCATCTACCAACCTGCTTTCCCAGTTTCGATGACCATAGTCACCAGGACCAAATTTGATGCCCAAAATTTTAATTTCCTGCTGGGGCTCTGGGAAGGCATCCGGAAGTTCGAAGCTTTCACCCTCCTCACCCATCCAGAAAACTTCACTCTTTTCATGGTTATACTTTAGAGCCAGAAGCCTCCGTGTACTGCTCTATCACAGAGACCACCTCCTGCGCCTCCTCAGTCCCAGAGATAATAACAGACACATCATCAGCATAGGCAATGACCTTCAAAGGCGGCACACCAGCAATGCCCAGAGGCACCCCGCACAACGATGCGCCCTCTAGCCTTCTTACAAAGGGGTCGCAGGGGGCTCAAAGGACATCCCTGGTGCACACCAGAGCCGCCCTCAAAAGCCCGCCCAACCCAACCATTAACAAGTGGGAAGCTCTCAGCCCCTTATATAATGTCTTCAGCCAATCTATAAACCTTCCCTTGCAGGCCCTATCTACCAAGCAGCAACCCAGATATTCATGATTCACTTGATCAAAAGCTTTTGCCTGATTCAATGCCAGCAAGTACTTTCTCCATCCAGCAGCCCTGCATCATTCCAAAGCCTCCCGGATAGCCAAAACTGCTGAAAAGGTACTTCTACCTTGGACCGAACAGTGCTGATGGCTGGACAACAAATCGCCTGCTACTGACGACAAGCGCCAAAAAAGAATCTTTGCCAAGATCTTTCTATCAACATTGAGAAGACTGATGGGGCGCCAGTTCTCAATCATTGAGGGGTCTTTACATTTTGACAGAAGAATCACAGCGGATTGCCTCATGGAGGGAGGGAGCGAACCCTCTTCTAGACAGCTGTTAAAAACCTCCGCTAAAAAGGGAGCCAGAATGGACTTAAAACACTTGTAAAATTCAGCTGTCAATCCATCTGGCCAGGCCCAGGTGATTTTTTGGTAGCCAGCTTGTCTATAGCATGAACTACCTCATCTGCTGAAATTGGTTCTGTCAAATTCATCAAAAGCAATGTACCATTTCCCAGTCCTGGAGTAGAATCCAGAAAGCTTTCCATCCTATCCCGGCTAAGGTCCTTTCTTCCCAGGAGGTCTGCATAATACGACCCAAAGATCTCCAAGATCCCTGATCTGGACTTTATCAGGGAACCCGTACTGTCTTTCAGGCCAATGACTGTTTTAACTGCTATGCCTTGCTTACAGTTCTGGTAAGGATCAGGCGAGTGATATTTCCCATAATCCCTCTCCAGAACCAAGGAGGCATGCCGGTCGTATTGACACTTCCTAAGATGAAGCTTCACTTCAGAGATCTCCCCTGGATCTCCTCCATACGAGACAAGATGATCAAGCTTTCTCCGCAAATGCTGGTAGGCAATATACATACCAAGCTGCTTCTTCTTACTTATGGCCTTGAAAAGTCCAATCGCCCCTTTGTTTCACAAGCTCCCACCACTCTGACTTACTGCTGCAAAAGTCCAGAATTGAAACCTGTGCCTGACAAAAATCCTCAAAGGATTGTCTTACTTCTACATCTTCCAGGAGAGCCGAATT